CAACTAAATAAGATCTCACAGCATAATAAAGAGCTTTTTAGTTTTGACTAAGCTTATATATTTAAAAATTTTATGATGAACCTTTCTTTTTTATTCAGTCAAGATATATATTTTAAACAGATTTAATTGCTACCAAATATCCAATGAAATCAATTTTTAGACTAAACAAGATCGTTTGCGTACCAGTTAATCTTTTAAAGAATAATGATATAATTATTTACCATATCAAGAAATGGAACACAAAGAGCCTTGCTACATGCACACAATGCTGACTAGTATCTTTTGGCAAATGGGTTTCATGAATTCAATATGTCATGTAATCAATCTTTTATTCTAATAAACTCAACGCATATTAATAAAATTATTTAACTGCAACATACATTTTAATAATATTAAAAAGTCAGCATACTTTAACTTACAACCATAATACTTAACAGCAGGTAAGTAAAGTATATATAACTTTAGTTAAAGAGATATTTAAACGAGGTGTTTTGAATATTTCTATTTTAAATACATTTTTTTCAAACAATTGTATTTTTACATTTATAAATGTATTTTTACATTATACATTTGTATCCTCAATTGTATTGAGTGATCATCCTTTAAGTTATAAGAAATTATTTACTTTTTATTTGTTTTAAAAGTTGTTATAAATAACTATAATTCAGACATGATTTTTTTTTACTAATATAAGTGACACTTTAGAATATTTCAATCAAATAATTTATGCAATAATATCATTCAAGTATAATATAACCCCTGAATTTTTGTGTACTTACAGCACTCAGTTATTAGTTCATGCAGCATTTGAACAAATTGGTATCTCGCTAAAAAAATGGAAAATATAAAGTTGTAAGTAGATATGATTGCTGCTTACCATGCTGCTATGTTATTAATCTTCTAACATACAGTATTGGGTAACTAAGAACTAAAAGGTACATAAATTATACATAAAACTAAAATTGTAAATTTTACTAATACCATTCAATAATAAATTCAATTGTTCAAAAAGATAATTTCTTTTTTTCTCTGATAATTATAAAGTTCTTTTTTTTTTTGTTATACAAATGTATTAGTCTTATTTAATTATTTTCTTTTGTATTTTGATAAAGTAAAATTGAATGTATATCGATTTCACCGCTAAGAACAAAAATTGTGCCGTCTTGGGAGGCCAAGTTTGGCTTCAACTTTTTTCGGAAAGATCAGTGTTCAAATCTTCATTGGGATTTTTTCTTTTTAATTTTAATGTCTAAGTAATTTTATTTAGTTTTATTTTTTAAGTAGTTTTATGTTTTTTAATATAATCGTTGTATTTATATAGTTAATTCGTTATTTATTTTTATTTCTCAAATTTTCATTAAAGTGCAAAATCCGTACATAAATCGACAATAGATGTAGTCGCATTATTTTTATGATAACTTACATGTTGATCATTTTTATGAGGACTTACATGTTGTTCAATTGATAAAAAAAATCGCTGCTAGATTTTTAACCATTAGACTCAAAACTCCAAAAATATTACCTCAAACCTATTCAAGGAATAAAAGAACAAAAAAAATTTTGTTAAAAGGCTTTAAAAATTGACTGAAATTAAAAGGCTTTAGAAATTGTTTTGATTCATGCATACTTTTAATTGAATATTTTTAAATCTACCCTTTACTACTATACTAATACTTCTACTGTTTTAATATTTTTCTACGGTTTTCTACTGTTGAAATATGACTTTAATTTTGTAAATTTTCATGATTTGAAACTTGCTTTATTAGTCATTATAAGTGCCTCAAGAACCTTAAAAATTTAACGGATCCCCAATATCATTAATATTTCAAACATAATTTATGTCTGGTCTCAAATAAAATAAAATTATACAAAATTTGAAATGTATTAGCCATTTATATATATTTATATATATATATATATATATATATATATATATATATATATATATATATATATATATATATATATATATATATATATATATATATATATATATATATATATAAAATTTTAAAAATGTATTCTACAAAATAGAGTGCTCAATGTTCTTAAAAGAACAGAGCAATTATAAAGTAGTAGAAAATCACTTAGCAAAAATGTTTTTTATTTAACACAGTGTTTCATCAGTAAAGACTCATCAGAATTCTCTGATGAAATAACTCATTAGAAATTTCTAATGAGTCTTTACTGATGAAACACAGTGTTAAATGAAAAAAGTTTTTGCTAAGTGATTTTCTACTACTTATAATATAAGTTGTATTACAGTTGCATACTTACACTTACTGAAATGAACTCTTTTTTGTTATACTACTCCTGGATCTTAAATGTGCAGATTCAAAAAATCAGTTGTTTAAAATTGCTGTAGACGGGGGAAGTGGTTTTATCAAATTTTGGCTAAATATAGTTGATCTCGATGAAATTTTTGAAAATTAAGGAGTTGTTGACGTTGAAGATTATCTTAAAACAAAACCCGCATCAGCTTGCCGATCTTCATATAAAAGATGGTGTAATAAAAAAATTTAAAGATTCGTCAGTAAGTGCTTCATTTCTTCTTCTCGTAGCTCCGGAGAACCAAGAAAGATATTTCAGCATTAAAATATTATTTTATCTTGAAAAAGTTAAGAATTTGACTTAGAAAAATCTTAGTCAAATTCTGGCAGAGATATCTCCAAAAAGCAGATCAATTCATCCCTGTTATGTATGTGAGTGGGATAGAAGAGAAACCTGGACAAATGCTTCATACAGAACATTTGAGAGCTGTCAAGAAAACTATAATAATTCAAAGAATCTGGTTCAAAACGTCTGCACAATATTTTAAGAATTGTATAAATCCTGTGTTAGTACATGGAAACCCTTCAGAATTTCTTGTAGACAGATTTGCTTTACAGGAGCTTCATATAATGAAAGAAGGAACAGTCCATGTTATCAATTACATGGTTGACTGAGGGAACAGTCAGCATGTAATTCGAATCAACCTATGGACTAAGAAAGCAAATTACAAGATTATAAATTGATTTACCAAGATATCTTGAATGAAAGGCACCAGATCTTTAAATAAAAATCCCGTGATAAGTATACAGCTGTTAAATGGCAGCTTATAGGTACTTATGAGAAATATGTTTATCTTTAAAACTTCAATGCAAAACTTTAAGACTTTATCAGCCTACGAAAAATATTTATTCAACTAGTTTTTTGAGAAATTATTTATGTTTTGAAAAAAAAAAATGTTTTATTATCGTTATATATTTTCTTTTCCTTAACATTTTTAACATAATTAAAATCTCTAAAATATTTTTATCTCACCTTATTTTCAATAAACATTCCATGGTTACTTGTCCAGTCAAACTTATTCATATTCTCATAATTTATTCTTTTAGCAAATATTTTATCCCAATTATCGTTTAACGTTTTAAATGTATTGTCTGTATGTTCGTTTGTAACTTTGCCTGTCGCTTTTTCTATTTCTTTAATTCGGAGTTTTACGACATAGTGTTTACATGCTAGCTAAATTATTGGTTTGCCTTTCCATCTCTCAATAATTGAAACTGCTCCATTAATCCATTCAGTATTACTCGCAGTTTAATCAAACAATACCCTATCAACTGCGTTGAAAAAATCCCTTGAAACCTTTTTTATTGCAGCAGCCTGGGTTCTTCCAAACCTATCGGATATTCCAATTACTCCAATAAGCTGGGGCTCATTGAGATCTGGTGAGCTTACAACTACTGCCAACCTTTTCACATTTTTGACACGATTAAGAACACCTGTAATTTTTTTTGTGTCCATGTCAAGAGTTAGAGAAAAGTGTTCAGATTTTAAAATAAGCTTATAAGATTCCTTTATTTTAATTTCTTCATCAGTTAAGACCTTTTTTTTATGCCTTCTTGAAGTTGTTTCTGATAGTGAAAACGTATTCAAATCTCCATTGTTCCGCGTTTATGATACTTGCAATTATAGCTACCTGATCTGTTAAAGAAATATCTTTTTGCAACAACGGATGTTGATTTAATTATATATTTAAACAAAGAAACCTTTACAAGATTGTCATTTTTTTTTCCTTTTGGAATTGTATTCTTTTTCTAACTCATCTTTATATTCTTTTTCTAACTCATCTGAGTCTACAAATTCAAAATCAGAATATTTTTTAACAACTGATTGGAAAATGTTGTAAAATTGATTTGCTTTCGCAATCTTTCTTTTAATAAACTTTTCATAACTTTTGTTCATTCAATCCATTGACCGCTTTCGCAGGCCTTTGTGGTCATCCAAAAACCAGGGCCGGTCTTAGGCCGATTTGACTGATTGCTTCAATTAGGGCCCCGCGCTTGGTAGGGGCCCCGCAATTTATAGCATATCATTATAAATGGCAGTAATTTTTTTTTATAAATTTCTATTAATCTTAATATAATTCGTAGTTAACGTTGAACGTTTAATGCGCATGGTAACGTCTATTGTTATTTTTAGTTTATCTTAGTTATTGCGGTATATGGTATAAAATATATTAGTTTCCAATCTACTTTGAAAGTTCCAGAAGTACTTATTTCCGAAAATTCACGAGGCAAGCAATGAACATGGCGGCAGCTTTTATATTGTTAAAGATTAAGCTGTATTTACTTTTGAAATGTTTGTAAAATATTTTTTGTTTGTTTATGCTATAATTATTTTTCATTTTGTTTACTATTAGTTTTATTTACTTTTGTTTAACGCAAACTTTTCTCGCTTTTCAGTAAATATTTTATATTTATGACAATATAAATTTTATTGGATAATTTTAAGAGTACTTTTTTTCAAGTCTAATAAATAATCTTAATATTAAATGTTTGTTTATTTATATTAAGATATTTGCAGTAATCAATTGCTTACATTTGTTAATTTTACTTTTAATTTTGTAAGGGGGATTTTTTATTTATTTTAGTTTAATTAAACTATTTTATTTTGTTGTGCAATTTAGTAGTAAAAAAAGAGATAAGTTTTTAGTTTTGAAGAACACAAGCCAAAATATGAGTAAAAGACAAAGGGACGTCGGTAGAAAATATCTAAGTGGTAACATTAGGAGAACCTTAGCTAAGGTAAAGAAAACTGAAGCAGAAAAAGAAAAAGGTGCGTTAGATAAATATTTGAGTAAATCAGTAGATCTGTTTGAAACTGAAAAATCAGACAAACAAGTCGAGTCAGACGACAGTGAAACAAATATTTCTAAAGAAATTACATCAGAAGCTAGTAGTAGTTTTCTTTCTGGATGTAATGCTCAACAAAATACATCTGAATTATGTATAAATATATCTGTTAACACACACAAGGATAATGAGGATATTTCAGAATCAAGAGAAGAAAATTCAAACCCAGCACTATGTGATATTTTAAAGATAAAAGATGACCCTGCTACATGGCCAAATAAAATAAATCAAAATGTCAGAGATTATTTAGTGAACGAAGGACCCCCTAAGATCACTGTAGAAAATTTTCCGCAAAATGAAAAAGGGTTACATTTTTCGAAATTTCACTGTAAAAGAAAATTAAAAAATGGGGAAGTTATAGAACGACCACAGCTAATATATTCTGAATCATTTGATAAAGTTTACTGTTACTATTGCAAAGTTTTTGACACAAATTCTGATTCTGCACTTGCTACTTCTGGATTTGACAGCTGGTCAAATATTCATACAAGATTAGAGGATCATGAAAAATCAAAAAAACATTTGCAAAGTACACTTAATTGCTATGAACTGCAGCAAAGGTTATCTACTGGATTAACTGTTGATACATTAAATGAAAAATTAATAAGACAGGAAACAAAACGCTGGAATCAAGTCTGTACAGTTTTTGGCAGAAAGGAACTTGGCATTTCGTGGGTCTGAAGAACAAATCGGAAATCCACATAATGGCAATTTTCTAGACGTCATTGAATTGCTAGGAAAATTTGATCCAGTTATGCAAGATCATATACAGAAAATTTGATCCAGTTATGCAAGATCATATACAGAAAATTATTAACAAAGACATTCATGATCATTATTTAGGCAAGACCATACAAGATGAAATTATTGATACTATAGGCCAAGCTTTTCTACAGGAAATTATTGCTAGAATTAAGTCGGCAAAGTATTTTGCAGTGATTCTTGACTGCACTCCTGATATCAGCCATCAGGAACAGATGTCAATGGTGCTAAGATATGTCGCTGATGGCACACACTCAGATGTCCCAGCAGGAATTTATGAACATTTTATAAAGTTTATTATAGTTGAGAGCAGCACTGGTGAAAATTTATTTAACATTCTTGTGAAAGAAATTGAAATGCTTCAATAGTTTTTTCAATCAAAAAAACTTTTTTTATCATGCTTGAGACATCGAATATATTTTTTCAAAATCCAGACAATAGTAAGTGCAATGTTCAATTAAAAATTCCTTTTATATGTTAACAATGTAGAGATATAATTTAAAATCGTGGTTGAACAAAACCTTACATTATACATATGGTAAAATTAGTAATAAACCTGTTTTATTGTAAAACTTTAAACATTTCCCAAGTGAGTATTTTATGTAATATTTTAAGTATTATTTATTAAGCTGTCTCTAATAAGTTAATTAAATTATTAGTGTAAACAATACTTTTTGCTTAAACAAACAAATTACAAGAAAAGTTTAATTTACTACATCCTCTTGTCTAATAAAAAAATTTTATTAGACAAGAGGATGTAGTAAATTAAACTTTAAATAAAAATGTATACAATTTTCTCTATGTACTCATCAAAATGCACCAGAAATCAAATGACAACCTTCAAAAATCAAAATTTTTACTGAATTGGCGGGGGCTAGTGTATATACATCGATTGACAAATGGAACTTTGAATGGTGGAATTTTTGAAAACAATTATAAATAGTGGAGGTCTTAATACACGCTGAAGATTAACTTAATCACGATTTTAAATGCAAAATGAAAAACTTGTCTTTTCAACTATAGAATAACAATTCACAAACAAAAGCAAAAAGAAAATATTTATGTATGTAACTTTTTAAAAACAATGTATTAATTTTGTAAGAACGAAGAAAAAAAAATGATTTAACTGATATGATGAGTTAGTTAAATAATCAAGGGCGGATCCAGATCATGTAGTGAGGGGAGCAATTTTTAGATTTTTTTTAGCAAAGGGGCTAGATGGATATTAATTGTTGTTTTTTTAAAAAAAAATAATAATAATAATAATATCTATGATTAAATATTTGCACTACACATCTTTATTAAAATTTCATGGCACTTTCCAGCAGCATCCTTAACTTACTTACGTTTTCCAAACAACGTGCTGTAATAAATATACAGATTTACAAAAGGAAAAAAAATTCCAAAATGCCTAAATAGGAAAAGGAGGGAATTGCCTCCATTGCCCCCTCACGGTCGTTTCGATATGAGGAAAATGCGCAATGTTTAGGTATGCATGCGTCAATTAATTATAAAAAGTTTAGAATTTTTAAAATGGCTGCGGCCCTTGACTACATCGAACATTTTATAAGACAATCTTTTTGTTGTTGGTTTGTTGATAAAAACTTTCTATTTTTATTTTATAATTAAAGTAAATCAGTAGATTGATAACTAAGTTTCAAAATTAAAAAAGTTAAACAAGCTGAAAATCTTGGCGTGATAAACCTTCAGTTTTCTTGAATCCTATTTTAGTATGAGTCAGTAATTTGTTTATTTTTTCAAAATCAATTTACTCAACTTCTTACCGTAGAAATTTGAAACTTTTTTTTCCAATTTAACAACGATGTTTCTTTTATGTATGGTGATTTTTTGGTCGTTACTTCAACTTTTTTTCTATAAAAAAATATACTTCTACTCATATGCATAAGAAGGAATTAGACACACTTAATTATATCAGGGAAAAGGTTATATAACACTATACCCTGATATAATAGAGTGTGTTTTTTTTGTTTTTATTTTTATACATTAATATTTAGGGCATAGTTGTAAGAGCAGAAATATATTTTATATCAAAAAAAAGTTGAAGCAACAACCAAAATCACCATAAATAGAGAAAATATATAAGATACAGTATCATATATATAAGATATGTCCATACTTAACATGTTGTTATAATTTATTACTTACTATATAAAAAAGTACATACACATATGTGTAAGTATGTATCGTTGTCAGACAGTTTTATTATTAAGGTTGTATGCTTTTGGATTGAGTTACATAGCTCAATTTATACCACGTTTTTTGATAAACAATTTCCACTTATAAATGCTTATTTACTTATAATAAATTGTTTTATTTAGATAGCTCTATTATGATATTTATTGGATATACCTGTGGTTAAGTGTCAATAGATTCAAAAAATAATTGACTTATTGTTGTTTGATTTTTGATTCTTTGACACTTAAATTTGAAAACTTGGTACAAAGATTCTGAAAAATAGAGAAATCAATTATTTATACGATTCAATCAATTATTTTTGACTACAAAGCTAAATAAGCTACAAAGAAAAATAGCTTTAGGTTCTTGATAAATAAATTTTTAAAATTACCTTAATTTTGGAAATATTTTTATATGCAGTTGCTGGTTTAAGGATGAACCAATTTAGTATAAAATCATCAATATTTTTTTCGTTTAATTTCCACATGTATTTTTAAAGGATTGCTTACGATTGGAAAAACATTTTTTCCATTCACTCTTTGTTGAGCTAATATATTGCTTATCAGGTACATTTTTAGAGGAAACAACACATTTATATAGCACGTTTTTTGATAAACAACTTCCATTCATTAGACAATTATTTTTTTTCATTTAGGATTTCTCTTATGATTAACAAAGCATTATTGTGACCTTTTATAAAACTTTTTGTGCAACTGTATCTAACTTTAATTGTTTTTTGATTAAAAATTTTATGTAATTTATTAGAGGGCAGGAAATGCTTATCAACAAATTTTGAAAACACTTTTCCTATGTTAGTGGAAACATTTTTGCTATATGAGGGTTAAACCAAATTACATTTCTAGTCTTCTTTCCCTTTTTGGTATTTTTTTTTTCAGATTCAAATTTTGGGTAATATTAGTTAAAATTGATATACAATAACTCATCATTTGAGTTAATATTAATATAAAATAATTCATCGTTTGGTTTTTTAATAGGCTCCTAGAGAGGTTAGATGTGACATTAGAAAATTCACATTCAAGCCAATATTAAAAATTTTCATAGTACCTTTACTAATTTTATCAAGCTGTGGACCAGATTTGTTACGCATTGCTACAGGGGTGTGGAGTCATAAAAAAAAAGAGTCATTGAAATTTTCAGAGTACAACTCCAACTTCAAAGGAAAATTTTTGAAAAATTCGTTGAATTTTTTCTAAAAATATTACATGATAATTTAAAAAAATTTTTTTGAAAAATATATGAAAAATTCTTTGAAGGTTAAATAGTTTGTACAAGCACACGCAATACTGAGAAGTTTTACTATTGGAGTCGAAGTCACGATTTTGTTTATCAGTTCTGACTCCGCTAAAAATGTTACAACTCAAACTCCACAACCCTGACATTACTATTAAACCATCATCACGATAAAGACCTAAATAATTAATAAGAGTTATTTTAGTTAATAAATCTAATATATATTATTTAACAAACTTACAAACATCTGCTCCATCATAACTGCCCATTCCCAGCTAACATTTGGTCTAAAAAAGACCTCCTTTAGGCATATTAAAAACGTCTTTTTTAGATCAAATGTTTGCTGGGTTTTTACATTAAAGCAGTCATGTATGTTTTTCTTTTTTTTTTTAAGTTTCCTATTAAATAAAGTAAGGTTTTTCTGCAATGTTTTATTATACAGATTGTCTCTTCCGGAATAACTCTGTGGTTTTAAGCATATTATCTAAAATATATGCAGTATACTGTATATTATATATTAATTAAAACCATTCTCCCTAAATTCTAAAACAAATCCAAATTTCAATTAATTACCGGCTTAACCAAAACTCCTCTAATAAAAACGTTCTCAATTCCTCTGAACAAGTTTATGAAAATTCTTGAAAAGTGGTTTTCTAAAAATTGAACAGAGTAGCCGTGGCGCCGTGGTTAGAGCTCTGGCTCAGAATCCAGAGGTTTGATGCCAGCTCCAGCCCAACAAGCGACATTGGTACGGAAGGAGACGCGAACTTCCTGTTAAATGCTCTCCCGCGGTGCTCTATGATAAGACCGTAAGGACTTCTGGGAGCACCTAAATACATACAAAAAAAAAAAAAAAAAAACAACTAAAATTTAACCCCAAAAAAAGAATACAAAAAAGGGAAAGTAAACTAGAAATTTAATTTGGTTCATCCCCCCCTTCCCCATATAGCAAAAATGCTTCCACTAACATAGGAAATGTGTATTTAAAATTCTATCCCCACCCTCTAAAAAATTACATAAAATTTTAACTCGAAATACAATTAAAGTTAGCTACAGTTGCACAAAAAATATGGAAAGAATTATAAAAGGTCAAAGTAATGCTTTGTTAAACATAAGAGAAATCCTAAATAAAAAACCCGAAAGAATATTGTAATTGTAAACAAAAAAACAATTGGAATATTGTAATTGTAAAAAATTTGTTTACAATTACAATTTTCCAAAATTAAGGTAATTTAAAAATTTTACTAACCAAGAACAAAAAGCTATTTTTCTTTGTAGCCTATTGAGCTTTGTAGTCAAAAATTGCTGATGGAATCATATACTTAATTGATTTCTCTATTTTTCAGATTTCTAGAAAATTGATTTTAAATAAATAAACAAAACTTGGATATCAATAAATAATGATATTATAAAATTATAAAGTTTTATCACGCTAAGATTTTTTTTATCTCTATTTATCAATTCTCTTATGA